TAATGTTCTTGACATTGGTAAAGACATCCTTCCCAAATCTCTTGTCAAGATTCCTCATTAATTAACTAAAGATCTTAGCAAGCCTGAGATTTTCTTCAATGCCATAATCAACTTGGTCTTCACAATCTTCATAATTATCAATAATCTTTGGAGGATTCTTAGCATAATGGCAAATCTTTGGTCGATGATGTTAGAACACAGGTTCTTAATAATATCTCTTTGTTTTGATGATAACTGTTAGGAAATTTTGTATTTAAGAATTATATACTCTAAAATTTGCTTGAGAGTTTTACTGCAGATTGAAATGAAATTAACACTCTAGAAGCAAATCTGAATTATATTCTAGAAATTATCTAGACTCTGAAGCGCCAGATGCACTCATTAGAAGACTTTGATTGCTGCTAACAGAAGATCCTGAGCGTAGCCTCCAGAAGGATCTGAAGCAAGAAGCTCCAGAAGATTCTGAAGCAAGAGCCCAGAAGAATCTGAAGCAAGCAGATGCATCTGAAGCAAAGAAGAATATTGTATGAAGAGTTTTTCAAAGCATAGTTTCTACATAAGATTCTGAAAGTACTAAAGCTGCCAGTATTGAAGCTTTGTGTCAAATATGCTCTGATGATTAACACGCTGAAAGCACACATGCTGCAGAAGACTCTGATACAGCAAAGTTCTGAACATCATTAGAAGACTCTGACTCAATCAGATTCTGATGAACTTGCTGAAAACTGAAGAAGAAATATTCAAAGTTTATATCCGTTGGAGTAAATCAAACGTCTCTTTCCTCATTTGTGCTAGACACAAGAACACAGACAAAAAGGATTTTTCTGTGCTTTCTACTTCTAGGAAAGGTCACTTGATGTGAAGACAAAAAGGCTCAGACCTTTTTGGGACACTCTTCTCAACGTTCAGCTCTCCTTGGATCAGCTGCCTATAAAAGGAAGACTCCACCAAATTCTTCAGTTAGACATTTTTGCTGAAAAGAAATTATTACATTCAAGCTCTCATACTTTCATATTCATTCTTAGAATTATTTGTACTTAAACTTAAGAGAAATATTACTGTTGTGATAAAAGCTTTTTAGAAGCATTTATACTCTTGTATTAGATTTACATTGATTGTAAAGGTTTTCCTTAAGAGGATTCAGTTGGAATCAGTAGCTCTTGAGAAGACTAAGAGCAGTTGTTCTTAGGTGTTACTATTGTAATCTGTTTGATTAAATAGTGGATTAAGTCCTTGTTGAGAAAGGCAAATCACTCTAGGAAGGGTGGACTGGAGTAGTTGAGTTCAACGAACCAGGATAAAAATAATTGTGTTTTTAATTCTAAGTTTTAATCTTTCATACTTATTCAACCCCCCTTCTAAGTATTATCTCACCTTCAGATGAATTATTCCTCCTTCATTGAGACCCTCCATCTTGAATAGAATAAGAACCCTAATCGTTTGGTTAATTGATTACCTTTCCCAATATGGAAATATTTGATACAAAGTTGTTATAAGTCATTAAGGTTTTATCATAATCATTTGGTTAATCGTTTAGGCTTTTTTCAATTGATTGGCTTAATTCTCCAATTAATTGGCTGGCTCATAAAAGTTTTTCCAATCTATTGGTTTAATTTACCAATCAATTATTTAGTTCAAAAAGCCTTGGAAAGAGATTGGACAATTTCTTAACCACTTGGCTTGGCCTAGAAAACAATTTTTAAGTTGAAAACATTTGAAAAAGGTTTTTAAGTGTGTGCGCCTTAAAATTTAAGATATATTTCCTTACTTTACAAAACTCTAGTCACTTAGACAGACATAAACAGACACAACCTAGAAGGCTTTCATACTTCCTTTTTTCATTATACCAAGGCTTCAAGATTCTTTTCGAGATACACAAATCATATAAACACTTCAATCTCGAGTCTTTTTTCTTGATGAGGCTTGAGATGATTATCTAGTGAGGTTACCATCATCAAAGAGTTTAAATCTATTTCTACCAACTTCAACAATTATTGTCGTCATCAAAGCTTCAGAAAGGATCTTTTACGGGATTATCAACTTTATACCTAAGATCACATATATTCACATTCCCCTCACTGATTTTTTGCTCCTTTCCTCACTTTTTTCTCCCCCTGATTTTTTCTCAATCTCTTTTTCAACTACTACTTCTTCTTCAATCTCTTTCTCACCCTCTCTTGTTTATTTTCTATCACCATTGGCCTTTGGGTTTAAAGGTACCACTCTATTTCCCAACTTAATGGTTCCACAACTCTCATTTATTGGGTTGGCTACCGTATTTCCAACAAACCCCCACTTGAACTTGTTTGCGCTTCTATTTGTTTAGATAATTGACCAAATTGAATTTCTAAATTTTTTATGGAAGCTTTGGTGTTTCGACTCTTGTCATTTTTGCTCAAGTCTTAAAAATTGCTTCCCGACTCTTTCCTGCTTGTTCAAAGCTGGTTTGAGTGGCTTTATAAAGCTAGTCAAGATTTCTTCAATATATGATGGTTTCCGTTGTGGTGCTTGAGGAACTTGTGGAAATCCTTGATTAGCATTTAAAGTTTGATTATTGTTCAACTTTAAATTTGGGTGATAATTTCACCCATAATTGTAGGTGTTGGAATAAGGATTATACTTTTGAAAGTTTCCATATGGAGCTTCAACACTAGCTCCCTCAGGTACACAGTTTTTGTTTGCATGTCCTTCCCCACAAAAATCACATCGTAGTGTAACCCGACTCATATTTGTTGGAACAATAAATGTTGTTGCTATCTGTTTCATAATAACCTCAAGTTATGTTAGCACTGTTGTATTCAAATATAATTCAAGCACACCCTTTGATTTGATTGTTTTGTCAGTTGTCGAGTGATACTCATTCTGACATATTTTTTCAATCAACTATTTTACTTCGTTTTCATTCTCAGTTCTTATGGTACCTCCATCTAAGGCATCCAAAATCATTCTCGCTTGACCTTTGAGACCTTTGATAAAATGTGTCATTTATTCCATTGCACTCATATTATGATTTGGACATCTTCGGAGTAACAACTTAAATCTCTCTCATGCACCAGACAATGACTAAGAATCACCTTGGTCGAAGTTTGAAATTTCTGCTTTCCTCTCTACAAACTGAGCATTTGAGAAAAATATCTCTAGAAATTTATCTTCCAATTCCTCCAAAGTATGAATCGTACCGTTTCGTATACACTATAACCAATCTTTTGCTTGACCTATTAGAGAAAAATTAAATAACAATAATTTTACCTAATCTTCAGTCACATCATTCAGCTTGCACATCGAACAATTCTCATAAAATTTAGCCTGATGCTCCCACGGATCTTTGATAGCTTGCCCATCGAACAAGTTGCCTCTTAAACCTAAAAGCACATAATTTTTTATATCAAAAGTAACAGGGTTAACAGGTTAAAATCCTAAGGATATCTATCTAGTATCAGTCATTCTACAATAATCCTCCATCGTTCTTCGTAGTGGATTCACATTATCTTCTACTGATTTTTCTAGTTCCTTTTTAGCTTATTGTGTTTCTCTTCTCACTTTCCAAATTGCTTGTGTTGTTCTTTCAAATTTTGAATCTAACATCATCATTGTCGAATACGAACCTCGCATAAACAATTAGACAATACCTCAATAACATTGCACCAAACCGAATTGAATAAGAGTATAAAATAAAAATAAATAATAACTAAGAATATTAAAATTGAAAATAAAAATAAAACATCGCACAAAAAATGGCCTTGTTGAAATTATCAACAATCCCATGCATCGACTCCAAAAAATTGATGAATTTCTTAGAAAATGAACTAATCAAGTCGAAGTAATAAAATATAAGATTGTCTCCATATGGACTGCGATATTTTAATAGGTGAAATTCGTGCTATTTGAAAAGTAAAGTCGGAGGGGTGGCTTGAGAGTATGTTGAAAAGGCTAAAACTTGAACAAAATTTCAGCTGAGAAAACTACTATGTCTTATTCGAATCCCCTATTTTCCCTTGTTGATGATTGTGCATGATTTAAATCGAATTGACTTTATAAATTTACGACAAATTAACAATACAACTGTACCCAACTTAATCCCTTAGTGTACATCTCACTAATTTAGACTATAATTCCCTAATTTCTTAGACGAATTGAATAGCAAAATTAGGCAATCTAAATGTGTCGATTTCCTAACCACAACTTATAGTTCCCTATCCTAGTTAATTACTAAGTTGAACGGTTATTTTATTTCAGATTGGTAGAGTTAAGGTTAGTAATCCATACTTATCTAAATTCACTTTGTGAGTTCGTCAACACCTAAAGTGTAATAAAAACAAAAGTAATTGAATAGAAAGTATGTAATCAAATCATGTAAATAACATTAAACACTCATATAATCTAACATAGTAAAATTAAATTCATCTCCTAAGACATAATCAAGAGAAATTTAACTAAGTCAAGAAAAATATAAAACAACCGCTATTTTAAAACGAAGAGAGTATATTATATTAAATAGTTTATTAAAAAAAAAGGACAAATTAGAGAATTTGATATAGTTTACTAAAGAATTAGCGCAAAAAAATCTATTTAAAATTTCCCAAATAAGAAAAAAATGATAACTTTCCCTAAAAAGGTAAACAACTCTGGCCCCCCACCATATTAATGAAGAAGCACTTAGTTCAAATTTTCTTTTAAAATAAACTCATGGCTTTTTCATTCCAAATTATTTATTTTGATACTCTGGCACCAGCATGTTTGCTAAGGCCTAAGTTACTGGTACAAAAAGATTCTCATTCTCTCACTTACTAGTACTGCTTACTTACTCATCACTCTGGTTAAGTTAAATGCAAAAAAAAAAGCACTTAACTCAAAAAGCACTTTCAACTTCATCTATCATAACTTTCTGACTTCATTTTCAACTTACATCTATTATCTTCTGTGTTGTTATAACTCAACCCTTACTTTACTTTCCCCTACCTTTCATCTCTTTCACTTTATGCTAACCTTTCTCTCTCTTGATGGAACTGTTTCTGAGAAGTAAAAACTTCAGTATGCGATTTCTAGTTGCTGTTGCTCTTTTAGTGTCTTGTGTTTGTGTGAGTGGAATCGGTGTAAACTGGGGTACTCAATGTACGCATCTTTTGTCACCGACGACGGTTGTGAGAATGCTGAAAGATAACGGGATTCAGAAGGTGAAGCTGTTTGATGCTGATCCGAATATCCTAGACGCGCTTAAGAAATCTGGTATTCAAGTTATGGTGGGGATTCCGAATGACATGCTTTATACTCTTGCTAATAGTGTTCAAGCTGCTGAAAAATGGGTTTCCAAGAATGTTTCTGCTCATGTTTCTTCTGGAGGTGTTGATATCAGGTACTCTATTATATCCTCTCTATTTGGATTTTTAGGGTTTGGTTTTGTTGCTATTTCTGCTATTGAATGATTCATTTATGATATATAAGTCTAATGATTGTTGGCTTTTTTTTTCTTATCTAAGTTGATATGTGAGAATGGATTATATGTAGTTAGAGTCAGGGCGTCTTTGAGGGCATGCAAGACGGACCACTGCACATGGCCCAAAATTTATGCGTAGCTAAATAGGGTCTCTAAATGTATGTTACGATTAAACTGTGATAGGCTTCTGTTAATTTTGTCATGGTTAAACTGCGATTAATGTACATGGGGTGTCAAAAAACTTGAAACGGTTGTGGATGTAGTGTTTACCACGAGTTGTATTTAATAATTTCTACTTGTTTATGATGTTAAGATTGAGAAGTTATGTGGTCTCTCGTTGCCAAGCAATGTATGTTGCAGATATCAGTTTTTGATTTGATTGTTCTTCTGGTTTGGGTACTTATCTAGGGTATTTGAGGGTTTTGTTATGTACTGTTACGTTTTGAGGATTGTGGAGATGTTCGGTGTTGGAAGAAAACGCTGCAACCAGAACAGAAGAGGGTTCCAGGGAATGGAAATTATGTGTCCTTATTATATATTTTTAGTGGAGTGTGCTATGAGTTGCATTAGATTTTGGGGTTCAATGAGTGTTTTGTCATGGTCCGAAGACTCTTTCTACCTTTTCCTCATTCTTTGTGAAGACAGTTGAATCTCTCATCTTCCACTACGTAATATACATGAAAGCTTTGCTTACTGACAATGTACTTCGAATGAATATGTCCCTTGCTTGTTTTTAATATCCCAATTTCCTCAATTTTCATGTTCATCTATGTAAGAATACAAGGTAAAGTTCAAATATCGGAAACTAATATCACTCTGTTTTGATACGTAGTCTGATTAATAACCTAGCAGAAAGATGAAACGCCAGTAATATTATTTTTTGTTATTCATATGTAGTCCTTTCTGTTTGAGCGAACTTCTTATGGACCTATGTTGTGTATTTCACTGTTTCTGATGTGCATCTTCAATTGTCTATGTCTGTGTGTTTGTGTGCGTCCATATATTGCTAGAGATGGGGAATATAAGAATAAGCAATCCCCGTATAGATGATCATTTTTTTGTTACATTAGCGCTTAAGCTTCACTTTCTTGTAAAAAATAAGTTTACTAATTCATTTATGATCACTTAAAAATGTTGGCTCTTAGAATTTAGAAATATTGTTATGCTGACTCTGTCATAGGATTTCAGTGTAACTTATTCGTTGTGCATAATGTTGTTACTTTATTTTCCTGCTATTATGTTTGACAACACTGATTGTAAAATCAACAACTACATTCTACATTTTGCCACTTCTATAGTATTTTATTTTTGATTCTCATTTATCTCTTGTGGTTTTTACAAGGTATGTTGCGGTGGGGAATGAACCGTTTCTGTCAACATACAATGGCACTTTTGAAGCCACTACACTCCCAGCTCTGCAAAACATCCAGGCAGCTCTCACAAAAGCCGGTTTGAGTACTCGAGTCAAAGTTACCGTCCCATTAAACGCGGATGTGTATATAAGCTCAACAAATAACCCATCCGACGGTGATTTTAGGCCGGATATCAACAACCTCATGCTGCAGATAGTCAAGTTCTTGAGCGACAACGGAGCTCCTTTTACTGTAAACATATATCCTTTTATCAGTCTCTACTTGGATCCCAGCTTCCCTGTCGATTATGCTTTTTTCAACGGCTTTCAGTCTGCTATAAATGACAATGGAAAGATCTACGACAACGTGTTTGATGCTAACCATGATACACTAGTATGGGCACTGCAGAAACACGGTTTCGGAAACTTGCCTATAATTGTTGGGGAAATCGGGTGGCCAACCGATGGAGACAGAAATGCAAATCTTCAAAGTGCACAACGCTTTAACCAAGGTTTTATGTCGAGGTATGTTTCCGGTAAGGGGACACCGATGAGGCCTAATCCTATAGATGCCTACTTGTTTAGCTTCATAGATGAAGATAATAAGAGCATTCAGCCCGGGAACTTCGAACGCCATTGGGGGTTGTTTTACTTAGACGGGCAGCCCAAGTACCAACTTAATCTCGGAACAGGCCGGGCGAATGGATTGGTGGCAGCCAGCGGCGTCGAACATTTGGAAAAAAAGTGGTGTGTGTTGAAACCATCAGCAAACCTTAATAGCGATCAATTGGCACCAAGTGTGTCATATGCCTGTCAAAATGCGGATTGTACAAGTCTTGGGTATGGAACATCTTGTGGTAATTTGGATGTGAAAGGAAATATCTCTTATGCATTTAACAGCTATTACCAAGTGAATGACCAGATGGATAGTGCATGCAAATTTCCAGGACTTTCAATGATCACTGATAAAGATCCTTCATTTGGAACTTGCAAATTTAGAATCATGATCCAGACAGATTCTGCTGAGCTAAATGCGATGGTTGGATCAACAACAACAGTACTCCTTGCTTTGGTTGTTTTACTGTTGTGTAATGTTTCATTTTGATTTGCTTGTTTTCTTTTTCTTTTTTAATTTATTATTTTTGGATGACTTAATGTGTATTACAAATTCTCAGTATGTATTGGTTTAACCGGTGTAAAAAAGCACTTGTAGCAGATGAAAGAAGATTAAAAATGTTTTTGCATTAAATTTCTAATTGTATTAGTAATGGAATATACAATGATATGCAATGGAATATGCAATGATTTGTCACGGTCCAATGATTTTGGATTGTTAAGATATGGAATTGTGAAAAGAGATTCACCCTTATGTGTTTCTCCACCACTTTAAAAATTTTTAAAATCTTCAAGGATTCGGAGATGCATATTTTTAAGTCATTTTTCATACCACATTGAAAATGCATTCTTATTATGTCTAAATTTAATTTGAAAATACATTTATGTATACGTAAAAAGTATGTACATAGATGTATCTTTGTAAACACCATTTATTTAAAAATTAGTGGGTGGTTCAGAGATGTATCTCTAGACGTTTTTGTTTCATATCCCGCACCATCACAATCCACTTCTACAATTTGAGACTTGTTATCACCTACAAGAGAATTTTTGTAACGCTTAAAACAACTATTATATTTCTTTTTATGTTCGAAAATCCACATATAACGAATAACGTTAACATCACAAGGTCATGGAACTAATTCTCATGTATTATCTATACTTATATATAAAAAGAAAACATGATTTTGGAGTAGTTTTTTTTTCTTTCAAATATATCATTTTCAGTTTTTATTTTAAATCTTAACTTCTCTTTTTAATAAATAGTAGTTATGTGATGGTTTATTATCTTTTATATCATTATTTACTACTATTATTTTATAAATAATAAATAAACTATACTTATATATAAAAAGAAAACATGATTTTGGAGTAGTTTTTTTTTCTTTCAAATATATCATTTTCAGTTTTTATTTTAAATCTTAACTTCTCTTTTTAATAAATGGTAGTTATGTGATGGTTTATTATCTTTTATATCATTATTTATTACTATTATTTTAAAAATAATAAATAATAAAATGAAAATTAATTAAAAATAATAATATAATTTATATTTTACACGTGTGAGTATTAAAAAAAGCGGACAGACAGACACACGAGTGCCTGTCTGGACGCTAGTATCTAATAAGAGCATTAAATCTAGACTGTATTGTGAATTTCCAATTAAGGTCAAAAAGGGTAACATTGTGGTTTTGGGAAATAGGTGAGATGGCCGGATCATTAATGGTAACAGACAGGTTTAAATGTTTATGGGGTTTGTAAATACCCCTCATGTTAAGAGTGACCATGATCCGAGTAAGAGGTGTAGGTTGGATCGATGGTGTAGGTGAGAGACAAGTAACTAGGTGATTTAAAGAGAAGGAAGAAGTTGTGGAGATAAGAGGGTCTGACGAGGATGGTGATATAAGCTGAGGGTCAAGTATAGGTGACAGTCTCATCAAATATGACATGCAGCGATACGATGATTTTTCTATGCGATAAATCAAAACATTTTAATCCTGTTTGATTAAGGGGATACCCTAAGAAAACACACGGAGTCGAGCGGAGTTGTAATTTTTTAATGGTAGTAAAGGAAAATAAGAGATAATAAAGACAATCGAAGACACAAATATGTGTGTAAGAGGGATCATGATGATACAAAAGTTGAGTAGAAAGAGATTAGACATAGTTTTATAGGAAAGAATATTCAGAATATATGTAGCCATTTAAAGCGCATGATACATAAATGAGGGGGAAACGAAAGTGTGAGCGAGAAGAGTGTGAATCATGTTGTTAGTGATGAGTATTTTTCGTTCCACCTTGCCATTTTGTGATGAAGCGTGGGGGCAAATGAAACAAAAAATAGATCGTTAGCAGCATATGGAAAAATATATTGTCATATTCTCGCCCATTATCACATTGAAAATATTTGACAGTTTGAAAAAATTGTGTGCAAAATTGATTTGAAAGAGAGGTGAACATTTCAAAAATTTAGGATTTATTACTATTACAAAAAAGTCATTTCACAACAGTTGGAAAAGGGATACCACGATGCCTGACCAACTGTCGTGAAGTAGGGGTGGTTATATGTATGATGCTTTCCACCACGATTGTGTGTATGTGATTATAAGTTATGTAGCTTATTACCTATTACAACGATTACTTCAAACAATTGTTGTGATATTTTTAACCCATAACATTTAACAACAGTGGGTATAAATAACCTTTGTGATTTATACACTTAGTTTATTATAAATTATGTGGAATGTTTATTTCGCCAATGCTCACTAAACATATAATCTTTCAATCTGATCTAAAACATTATAATATGACAAATTAAGTTATATTAGAAGAATAAGTTCACGTTCAATGCTAGTCAAAAGTTCTTCAATTCCTTATCCGTATTTTGTTCTTTAATGGTTAAAACTTTGTTTAATGCTCATAGTTCTTCTACCTTCTCTTCTTTCACCTTTAGTTTATTTTGTAAAATATTATTTACTTTGCAAACAAAATTAGAGGTGGAGAAATTGGCAGTTGAAGAACTACAAGCATTAAATAAAGTTATAACTGTTAAAGAACAAAATGTAGATAACAAGCTGAAGAAGTATTGTCTAGAATTGAACGTGTATTTGTTTCCTAATATAACTTTATCTATCATATTATAATTTTTTAATACAATCTAAAAAAGCTATATATTCGGTAAGGGATTGAAAAAAATACTCAAACCACGTAAGATATAATAAACTCATCTTTTAAACACAGATTAACAGCAATATTCATCAACAACAAACCTTAAACAACATACAACATAACACTTTTATTAATAAGAACAACAACAAAATATATATCAACAACATACAACAACATTTATAAATAGCAACATCAACAACATACAACGACATTTATGAAATAACCTATTGAAACATAAGCAGATTTTGAAACAAAATAACATCAACAACATACAATAACATTTATCAACAACATACACAAAAATGGCATACAACAACAACATACAACATTTATCAATAACAACAACAACAACAAAAAGAAAACCATGTGAAACATAACAACAACATTCACGAAAACGAGAAAATAAGGAAGAAGAAGAATATTTTTATGTATGAAGAACAAGATTAAGGTAGTAATGTATAATAAGAGAGCTAATGACGAAGAATAAGAAATAAAATGTGTGTTAGGGTTTTGCTGTGAGAAATACAGTGATATTGTCAAGAAGCGGAAGTTAATTCATTTATATATGGGTAAACAATTTCACCATGGTAGTATTCAAAAACCATGATGAAATGTAATGCCTTTCACAATGGTTGACATTACCAACATGGTGGTAAGTATTTAATTTGAATATGTATATCATATTATAAGGATAACACTCATTGTAACGAAAGAGTAGAAAATTATTAGAGCTGAGATTCGAACCATGTCACTCCATGGATGTATAATTATGGTTATTTGTTTTGAATGTAATGCAATGTCTTTTTATAAATATAAAAAAATAAAATGCGTCCATGAATGAGGTATCACCACAGTTAACTACCAGATTGTTGTAAGTTAGTATTATCAAAGGTGTATTTTGTAGTAGTGTATTTGTTATAGGAAATGTCCACGGAAAATAAAAAAAAATCATCAAAAAATAAAACATAATAACGATGACCAACTGAACTCAAAATCGGCGATGTCCATAAATCAATACGTAAAATATCAAAGGGTATCACAGTAACATTATTGTATGAAACAAAAGGCAACTTAACATGTTTTCCAGACGCACAAGAAGCATAAACTGTCCTATAATTGAAATGTTCATAACTAATGAACTTATTGCTATGAAGAAACTACAATGCTGAAGAACTAAGATGGGCAAAACGTCTACACCATAGACTATAAGCAAGACCAACAAAAGGATATGCATTATAAAGATCACCAAGATTATTACATCTCATGAGTGGAGTCCCTGTGTTGAAAGCCATTGATCGGAAAACTAAAAGGATAAAAAGAAATAGAAACATTATTGTTAGTAGTGAGTTGTTGCAAAGAAATCAAATTTTCAACAATTTGTGATATGTGTGAAACACGGGTAAGGCTCAACGACTTGTGTTTATGGGAGGTGGGTAGGGTTGTGTATCCAGAAACCTGAATTGGAATATCTTGTTTGCTGCCAACAAACTGATTTTAATTAAAGTGACTCAAATTAGAATAAGACGAGAGATTACCTTGTGAATCACTATGTGGGACGAGGCACCCGTGTCCATGTACCATGTGTCGTCCAGAGAAGTGAGAGACATGGTGTGCATAACAACTACAATGTTAGTGGGTGTTGGTGAAGTTGTGGCAGCGTAAGCCTGACGACACTGACCCAGAATGCCTGGTTGATAATGATGGGGATGAGCAAAGAGGCGAGTTTACTAAAAGGTAGAATATGGGCACATAGGCATGGGCCACGTGGGGCAGAGTCCAACCCCACAACTGGTAAGGGTGATACTATTGTTGCAGCTGCTAAGGAGGAAAGCCATGTCAGCTACCACCGCAAGGATCGCCGCAGTTACGAAAATTCCCACCCTGATTTTGAATGTTGTGGGAATGAGGGCAGTTGCTGGAATGACAGTTGTTGCTTTATGATGAGTCGTTTTAAGCACGGTGTCACACACTAAACCATGAAACGCAAAATAAAATGATTATAACATGAATATACATATAAGTTGTAATCCATAACGAATAAAGACTTGCTACGTAACACGGGTTACTCAAACCATGCATTTAATTAAACACATGTCATCACATGCTCGCCTTAACATAGATTCATCGCAGCGAAATCAAATAGTATAAGTGATTCAACAAATAAATAAGTCTCATGACATAAAACATGGTCATTGCAAAACGCCTTCAACATTAACAACACCAAAATAAGTGACAAAATCAAACGAATTGTTCACCTGCCTAGTGTTACAAACCAGAGCAATAAAATACTAAATAAATGCATAAAACAGGAAAAGGAATAAC